CAAAACTAACTGAGCCTTTCTTATCACTATATGAACTATAAAAGTGCCTAAAACATTATAAAAAAAAACATCTATGGACATGTCTGGATTTCCTTGTAAGGAAACTTCACTTTATGAAATAGGTGCAGGCAACTTTAGGGCACCGTTACAAGAGTTGCTTTGACAAGAGACATAAAACTCTAGAGCTTTTTCCTGGCCAGGTTTCAGACCGTGGCAACACTGCCATAGAAATGCTTAATGAAAGTGATTCGTGAGTGTAATTCATTTTAAGTGCTTTGTGGGGTGGCCACAGGGCCAAATGTGGCCCTTATTAACCACCTGAGTGCATCTGCAACAAGTCAGCACCCTTAAAAGCTCTGCAATCAGGTATGAAACCTGGAGTCCCCGAGTTAAAGCTCCTCCTGGTTGACTTAGACACGAAATGGGATCATGCACTCACCAGTCCAAGCTTCTCCGAGGCGTTGGCCTTCCACAGCCGAATGTTCATCTCGTCGGAGCCGCTCAGGACGTATTTGTTGTCAGCGGACCATCTCACACAGATGACATGCTGCATACGTTTGGTGTGGTACACCTCCCTGAGGATTGTGGGAAATCACATTGAAAGCCACAAATGTGCTCCATTTACTTTATTACATAAACAATACATTGGTACACATTTTTTCCAAGAAAACAAAATATTTGCCAATTTATTTGAAATAGAAATTAAGCAAGGATGCATTTCTATTTCAAATAAATGCTGCATATTTTAGATTTTTAACTGAGCGAGTAACATATTCTCTGACATTATTTTAACTTATTATATTTAGTTGCACATTGTAACATATTTAGATTAGCATTTGATTTTTATTGTATCTTCAATATAAAAGGTCAAGTTTGGTGTATTTTTTGTAATATATATATATTCTTTTTAAAAAGGATTATACCAGACTTCCGAATTGTAGTATACCACAGTTTCCACAAGATATTAAAGCAGCAAAAAATGTTTTCAACATGGATATTAATTAAAAAAAATTATTGAGCACCAAATCAGCATATTAGAATTATTTCTGAAAGATCATATTACACTGAAAACAGGAGTAATGGCTGCTGATGGCAGTTTTGCCATTACAAAAATAAATGACATTTTACAATATACTCAAACAGAAAATATTATTTATAATTATTTCACAATGTATACTGTTTTTACTCCTTTATTGAGCATAAAGGATGTCTTTTAAAAACATAAAAAAAATCTTAAAAGCAGTATATGCTTTTGAAAGAATTCCCTCATGGCTACCAAGGCTGCAAATCTATCTATCTATAAAGAGAGAGAGAGAGAAATTACTGTTTTTTTTTTATTATCTTCTATCTTTCTTTATGTTGTTTTGCACTACTACTTTGCACTGTTTTTGATTGTATGCAGCAACGCATTTGTCATGCCAATAAAGCACCTAAAAAACTGGAGAGAGAGAGAGAGAGAGAGAGAGATCAATCCTTGGTCTTTCAACACTACACTCACCTGCTGTGGCCTTTGTCTTTTGGAAAGATTCGGATGGTTTTGTCAAAGCTGGCAGATACAAACTCCCTTCCTGTAGGTGAATAATCAACATCCAGCACAGCGGATACATGATCCATGTGCACAGTCACAGGAACATCCAGATGCCTTATATCGTAAGTATAAAGGCTGTAGAAAAAAACAGAAAAAGGTGATATGATTTATTTACTCTTAGTTAATTTCTTATGTAATGTTTTATGCTAAAATGAACTCACTTGTAGTCTTCGTTGGCGCAGGTAAAATAATATGCTTCCATTGGGTTCCAGCAAAGCGTATTGCTTCTCAATTGCATAATAACCTGAAACACGGTGTAATTTCATTACAGTCATAAATTGCACTATTCATCCATATGGGTAAAAAGTTAAAATATTGCAGACCTTTCTAAGCGGTGCAGATTCTCTGGTGTCATACAAGACGATACTTCTGTCTGATGCGCAGCTAGCGAGAAGTTCGGTCTGTAACGGGCAACAGGGCAGTTTGTATTATGTGCTGTATTATAGCCATTCCCATCAATCCCATGGTGGTCACCACTGGCTTTGACATATTTTAATCATTGTAAAGCTGCTTTGAAGCAATGCATTTTATGAAAAATGTCCATAGAAGAAAACTAAAATTAAATTTGATCACCTCCACAGGGTTGTAGCGGACGCAGCTGAAGCTGTCCACACCCCAGCTGAAGGAGCGGATGGGACTGCTTCTCTGCTCATCCCAGATATCCACAGTCTGCCCGCAGGTTACAAACGTGCTCTCCCTCTGGTGGTGGTCAATGCCAGTGAACACCGCCTGCAAGACACATCAGGCCTGTTAGAAACTGAAAACCTTACAGAACCCTAAACGTGTGTGCATATTTATAAATAGGACTAAATATAATTTAGTGGATAACACTGTAAAACATACCCTAATTATTCACTGACATTATTACTTTTATTTAGTTATTACATTTAGTTTGACATTGCAATATATTTAGATTAGCCCCTGCTTTTTATTGTATATTCAATATAAAATGGTGATTTTTATATAATAATTCAATTTTTTAAAGTAATTATGTTTCATTTTAGTTCAGTAATATTGTGAAACGTCATTAGAATTTAAAAGAACTGTTTTGGAATATATTTTAAAATGTAATTAATTTCAATGATGAAAACGCTGAATTTTCAGCAGCCATTACTCCAGTTTTCAGTGTCACATGATCCTTCAGAAATCAATATAATGTTTATTTGCTCCTCAAGAAACATACATATACACATACATACATACATATACACATATACATACATATATATATACACATACACATACATATACACATACATACATATATATATAAATATATATATATATATATTAACTGAGCTGCAAATCAGCATATTAGAATGGTTTCCGAAGGATTATGTGACACTGAAGACTGTTATTTTGAATTGTAATAATATTTCACAATATTATTGTATTACAATATTACTGTATTTTAGGCCAAATAAATGCAGCCATTTCTGCATATTATAATAATACATAATCTTCAATATAACATGTGTAAGCTGAAACTGTACCTTCCCCAGAATCGTGTTAATTGGTTCCTCCCGAACTCCATATCCTGGTGCCTCCAAGTTCCATTGTTTGATGGTCTTGTCATCTCCTACCTGTTGCATGACATGAAGATTTCACAGAATCATATAACTGCACAACCACTTGCTAACTGGAATGCCTTCACCCATATCAAGGCCTCACGGGAAGAATATGCAGGATTAAAATACCGTGAAAAAGGAAGTGCCACAAAAGCGGGAACAGATTCCTCGTACAAATCCTTCATGAGCCTGAACGGTCCTCAAACACTCCTGCCTAGGAAGGTTCCACAGTTTCACCTGTCAGGAAAAATAAATAAAAATCATGAATCCACTCATTCATCCATACTGAATCTAGATGGTCATTTGCACACTCTTTTGACATATTGGGGGAAAAAATTATTGCATAACTGAAGTTCATTAACTGTGTCCTTTGTCTTGTGGTTTACAGTATTATTGTATGTTGAGCGTGTGTGTGTTGTTCTTGTATTGTAAACATGCTCAATAAAAGAAGCTAAAAAAGAGCTTCTAAAGGGGCCTTAATACTCAAATAGCACAGTAAAGGCTTTAAAGTGTTACCTCCCCATCGCAGGCACCAGATATGACTGTTGAAAGGCTTTTGGCGTGTTTGGTGATGCAGCTGATGCCATCTCTGTGACCATCTAGTGAAGCTACAAAAGGTTTGGCAAACACCCTCTCCAGTTTGGTGGCATTTAGGGCCCTGGTGTATTCCCTGGGCACCTCAAAAGGATGCAGGGTCGGGTCATAGTTCCTGGGCACTAGATAGGGAATATAATACAGTTAGTATATTACTTCCTACTACATCAACCTTTACATATTGACTTTATGTTTACATACCTCGTTGTATATCTCTAGTCGTCTCTCGAACATAATCGTCCGGGTTTCTACAAAGCACTTTAACTTTCATTCCAGCGGTTTATAAAACTAAACACTCAAATTCTTGACCAAAACGGCAGCGTTCAGAGAAATGTCGGACCATGTGTTTGTATCACGTAGCGCGCACTAATGTGACGTGACACATCCGGGTACTGCAAGCATAGAGATACAATTTGGAAGAATGGCAATCAGCAGAAATAAGTGTTTTTTTTTAAACTAGTAACTTTCTTAATAAATATTTGCTTCTTTTTTCCATTGTTGTTTTAATGATGAATTATTTGGCTGTTAAAGCTTTAGTGAACAAAAAAGAGTTATTGTTTTATTATTAATCGTGTACTGTTGCTCTGCTGTTACTTGCCAGTTTTCATTTTCACAGAAGGAAATGTATTAATGTATTATATTATTTAAATGTTTAACAGAAGTATATATTTATTGTTTTTGAAAGCGAAATGAAACTATGTAATACATAAATAAAAATACTGTAGGGCGTAGCGGAGTTTAAAAAAAACAACGTATTACATATTTTATCAATTCATTAGTTAAAATACTACATTTACCTCAATACCATTATCAGAGTGTAAAGATTATAGTTCGGCGCTTTGTCACGTGGTACCTGATACTTTTCTCAGCGTTGTAACAGAATGGACCTCGATGGACCAATCAATCACGGTCTTTAGATGGAGAAATAACCGGTTTTAAGAAGCGAATTTAAAATCACTTTAAATTAATCGCTATTAACGATTCTTTTTCTTACAATACAAATGTCTCCATTTCCAGTAAGGCAAAAATCGGATGCTGCTCAAAAGAGGACTGGGCTTTTTGAGCCACAGTGGGGCCCCTAGAGGCGTGAAAGTTTATGTCTCATTGGGTTCAGTAGCGGCGTCTTCTAATGAAAGGATATTGCGTTCTGATATACGTACAAATAGACTGAAGTGTTGCTTTTCATTGGATTCCTTGACATTTCTGTAATGTTTGCGGGGTTGTTGTGGCGTTTCGTGATTGTGTGAGAGGAGTCTCACACGCGTGTTTTTATCATGGAGATTCTGGGCAGCACTTTTGATGATTCTGTGTTTGAGGAATCGAGGAACAGAGCCTCAGCTGCTCTTCCCGCGTACGAGCCCAAACTCTGCGAACCTCTGGTGGGTAAAACACTCAACATTTACAACAAACTACCGACCGATACCACACAGAAATGGCTCGTATATTTACACAGCATTTACATGGTATGCTACTTTAATTTCAAAGAAAAGCATGGCATTTCTACGGTAAGTTATTGATGGCAGCAAATGCTAATGATACTTAGATATGTACAGTATTTACGTGAGAATACCATGGTATGTTTTAGTCAGTGATATTTCACCACATTATAATCAATAAATTAAATATGTGCTGATGGTAAGTAACATATAACTTTGGTTATAATTACATATGATTGATGATAATTGTCATCATAATTATGCATAATTATACAGGTGTTTCTGCGGAATTCACACGGTCATAAAAAATGGCAGGATGTGTGTGTTTGAATATATTGATAAATAATAGATAAGAGTATTATATGATAATACATTTATAAATATTTGTATATATGTATAAATGAGCGTGTGTCTGTGTGTGTATAACTAAAATAAAAGGCCTAACTAAAATATTTAATAAAAATAAAATCCTTATCTAACAAAAAACTGAAGTATCTTTTCAGGAATTAAATAAAGGAACATATTCCAACAGGCCATGTTTTGTTTCCTTCTTTGTTTTATTATATCTAGTGGTTTTGTGAAGATGGAAATGTTGAGGACCCATTAGAAGAACAAAAAACCCTTAAGTTTCGAGGAGACCTGGCCTACAGGAAGAAACAGTATCAGGTATAAAGAGCTGAATTCTCCATCATCTCTCACTATTATCTGATTCATAAGCTGATTGGTGGGTTGTGTCAATGACAGGTGGCTCTGGATGAGTATTTATCCTGCCTCTCTCTCATACCTGCTGGAAACATATCAGTAAAGAGAGATGTGCTGGAAGGGATCGCACGATGCTGCTGTCATCTGGGGAAAAAAGAAGAGGCTCTAAATGCCTGTGAGAAACTGGTAAATATATTGAATTACTTACTCCACTACTAACTCAACTTGTATGTATGCTTTTGCTGATGATGTTTTACTGACAGAGGACAGAAGTATCCAACACCTGCCACCTCACCTGCGTCCTTCAGCTGGAACTGAGTGTTCATGAACACTACAGAGATCTGACAAACAGCATCTCCAGCCTGCAGCAGCTGTGCTGTCTTCATCCGTACCATCCGTGGTACTGGCTGAATCTGGCCTTGAGCTTTCAGAGGCTCCTGGAGTCTCCTAGGTGTCCAGAGAGATCCAGCACTGAGGAAAAACACGGCAAGCAGCAGGGGACAAATAACATTATACGACTAAAGACCATCATGTGCTTGATTAGAGCAAGGTATGTCAGCCACAACAGAACTAGATGTTTATTTACTGGCTTTGATGTTAACGGAAGAATTCAGCGCCAGGTTTGTTCATCTTGCTTATTTGTGTTTCTTTTTTTTCAGGTTGTTAATTGAAATCCTGCGGATTCAGCAGTTCTCATTTGTAAAATTATAATAATAAGAACTCAGATAAACCGTATTTTGCCGTAGTCGTGTGTTTATTAGTCACGTTGAATCAATGAAAGCAGTTGAATCTTCTGTTTATTCAGCTGCAGCGATTTTCTGGGTTTCTTCTGCGAGGCGTATTTGGAGTTTCAGCGCGAGAGCGCCCTCTGGCCTTTGGATGGAGATTTACTGCTGATCACAGAACCGTGCTTCACTGAAAGATACGCATGACAATCGCAGCTTCTGTCGAATCGCGATCTCGATTCCATTTCGATTTATCGTGCAGCCCTAATATACACACACACAGTAGTTGTTTATTATTCAATTATTTAATTAAGAAAACAATATACTGTCTTTATTATGTCAGATTTTAAGAAAGTGGGGTCATTGTATTTAGGGGTCCTTGGCATCAAAAAATTGAATAACCTCAGACTTAGACTACTAACACAAATCCACCTTTATTGATGTCTTTCAATTAATAATTGTTTGTGCAATCAGTATTTAAAGGAATACTTCACCCAAAATTGACAATTCTGTAACTATTTACTCACCCTAATGTCATCACAAACTCGGAAGACATGTAATGTAGTGCCTGAACACATAGAAAATCATACAGGTTTGAAACAACAAGAGGGTGGAAAAATAATGACATAACTTTAATTTTTGGATTGAGTATTTGTGACGAGAGGGGCGGGGGCGGGCTTTATTTTGCGTTTTGTGTGCGGCAGTCGTCCGCGAGGGGCTGCCGCTTTACTTTCATTTTGTGTTTGTTTATTTTATTAAAGTTTTTTTTAAATGTTCGCCGGTTCCCGCCTCCTCCTTCCCGTGACTACGAACTGTGTTACAGTATTCCATTGCAGTGCCAAGTCACTACTTCAATGTGATTTCAACACATTGTTGTGCATCAAAAAAGTTAGTTAGTTCTCTAAATGTATACATAACAGAATTGCACATCTCTCACACAACTCCCCAAAACATCTGTAATGAACATCCATGGTCTCACATTAGAAACTGATTTCATTTATTCTGATCTAGGTGATGGCAGAAGACCTCAATCCAGAGAAGATGAGAGAGGAAAACCAAGATGGAGAGAGTTTATCAGGACTTTATATTAAAGACTTTGATGACAGGTGGTGGAACAAACTCTACACCAAACTGCAGGAGGAGACTCCAGCTTTATCCATGCACAGACCACTGGAGGAGACATTTGAATAGGCCTAATATGAATATTGATTGTATTTTTATAATTGAATGTATTTTTTATTGGAGTTACATGCTTTTACTGTTACAAAGCAGAATAAAGTTAAATGTTTTAAAATACATAAATACATTTCTACATCTACCAATACAATCTACCCACCACCAGTGTCTAATAAAGCATTACAATAACCTGCTCTAGCACCAATGGGAAGTTGCAGGAACACCTCTGTTGATGTGATTGCCCTGTTTTGGACGCCAAGTTTGGCTCTTCGTATTAAAATCTTTGAAATGTGGGGACTGAGAAGCAATGGGGTGATGGATCGTGTTCCTCCGTGGAAGCCATTGAGATATTTGCGGTCCAGTGGTGACGTTTGAATAGCTGGTTTGTCTGGCCAGGACTTGAGTTGTTGGGAAACTCGGGTTCCTGGGCTGACGAGGTTTCTGTTGTAGGTGGTCGGGAGTGTTTCCAGCAGTTACGGCCGGGCCCATCGGGATCTGGAGTTTATCAATGGGTAGGCAGAGATCACCAGGATCTGATGTGTGGCAGGTAAATCCTGGGACTGGTTTAGAAATGGCATAGAGTCTGCAAAACTCCAGGTCGAAAGGTTTAACCCCGCTGCCTTTGCAGAGTACGGCCAAGCTTCTGTGAACCTGCCAGAATAGCCAGGTGAGACTGACAAAGTAAAAGTCATCAGTGAAAAACACTCAAACAAGAGACTTAGTAAAAGGTGAAGTTTCTGCATAAATGGCAGCACCATATGGAAAAGCAATCGATGGAAATGCATCGTCTCAACCAGCAGTGTGAGTTTGGGGAGGGCTTCCATGCTACAATGGAAGATGTTGGGAGTGTTTGAAATTTGTCTGAAAACGGCATTATTTTTGCAATTACTGCTGTGAATGCAGAGTAAAGAGCTGCTACTTGAAATAAACTATCGATTTTTTTAACAACACAATTTTAGGTAAAATTTATATAAATGTATTGGGCAAATGTGTGTTTTTAGATGCTACAACTGACGATTTTTAAAAAATGCATTTCCAAAAGTAAATTTTTGTATTGAATGTATTCTCAAAATTAAAAGAAAAAACTGCAATTATAAACTAGATTAATGCAATGTCAGTCGCTTTGGATAAAAGCATCTCCCAAATGCAAAAATGTAAATGTATTGCAAACATTTAGCAATAGACAGCCAACCTAAAGCTGAAATGATGAAAACAAAAATGTTTAAATGGAGATTACGTTCAGCAGTTAATTGCAGAAAAGAATAAAAACAATGTTTGATGAATACAGGTTAATATAAATATAGTGCTTCCTTCAAGGAGCTGTTTAAATAGTCAATTAGTAATGCATGTCAGTACTGATGAGACATTTGAGCGTTCAGATTATTCAGTACCTGTATGAGCCAACCAGCACTTTTTTGCAGTCCACAATGATGAATTTCTCTTTCATCTGTCCAGTGAACTTTCTGCCCGATTTGGCACAGTATGTTTGACCTTGAACGCTACGAATGGACATTCTCTGTATGAAGAGATAAAGAAGTAAACATAAGCACATTGGCAATAAATATAAAGAATTCATCCACATCTTTTTCGTTTCATGATATAACCGAACTAACAGAAATATGATGTCATGATGAAAAAAGCGTGTTACATATATTGAAATGACATTTATTATATTAAACCAAAAGCTAGAGTTTTAACAGTGCCTATTAAATATAAATATCAGGCCTCTAATCCCTAAACTTATTTTGCCAGCAGCAACACATTTCATGTATTGTCAGTGAAGTCAGTTAAAAGAACAGAATAACTTACAGTAAGATGAGACTTGTTGATTTTTACATTTTCACACATGTCCTGGAACAGCTGTATATTGGTGTGGTCCAGAAGGAGATAGACAGACACATTGCGCTTTCTTGTCACCTCCAGTATGTCACAGAAAATCTCCACATCGCTGAATGTGTCCATAACTATCGCCAAAACCTTTGATGAGTGGAATTTAGGGAGCAAAAGTTACATTGCAAATTGTGTTTTAGACAGCTGCACAGTCAAAAATGTCAGGCACTTTCCACAAATAGAATACAAAATAGGACCTGCAAATTTATTATTATTTTTTTTTCCATTTTAAACAAATAAAAGGAGGTGCTTAAAGGGTTAGTTCACCCAAAAATGAAAATTAGGCTGTGTTTTGCCCGAGGCATCCTAGGTGTATATGACTTTCTTCTTTCAGATGAATCCAGTCGGAGTTATATAAAAAATTGTCCTGGCTATTCCAAGCTCTATCATTGCAGTCAGCGGGTGTTGCAGTGCTTCAGTCCAAAAGAAGTGAAATAAAAAGCGCCCATCCATTAAAAAAAAAGTGTCTCACACGGCTCCGGGGGGTGAACAAAGGCCTCCTGTAGCGAATCGATACGTTTTTGTAAGAAAAATAACCATATTTAAAACGTAATAATCAATTTAATCTAGCTTAAAAAAAAAAAACTAATTTTGCAACTCTGTTATCAAAACTTGGGACATACATTTTAAAAGCCTTTTTTTTTCTTTTGTCTGTGCGTGTTTGTAGTACAATTTCTACCAATAAACATAATTATCAAAATTAAACAGATATAAATTAATATTAATATTGAACTGAACTGAGCTGACACTATTGCACTCAGCACTGAAAAAAAACTGGTATAGGATTTACTTTAAGAATTTTCACAAATTTCGCAAATTATTACAAACCAACATCAAGAAACACATTGAACACATTAAATGTGAAATTTTACTTAATATGAATAAAAACAAATAATTATGCTATAAAATAATTGGATGACAAACTGTTCAATTTGTTCCACCAATACTTAAAGATAAAAAAGTTGTGTGGCACCAAAGTGTTTCCGTCTTCATGGAAAGTGCTGTTTGCAATTGCATGTGCATCTTTCTAGCATCACAAAAGCGATATTTGAAACAATAATGGCAGTAAACAATCTAAAAATGTCACTATCAAATGACAGGTTCTTACTTCAGTTGCTTGCCTGATCAGTTCCCGCAGCAGGTCTTTCATGGAAAAGGATCTGACTGAGTGGAAGAACACTTCCACACTAGGAATCCCCTGCAGATGGTAACTCCAGTCAGCCACCGGCCAGCCGTAATCAAGAAGTGGAGGCTCACTCTCTGTGACCGCAGGAAAGTATGTCTCAGAAGAAACTGATGGAGAACTGGAAATCTCTTCATCACTGTCTGCCTCTTCACGGTCAGTGAGAGGCTTTTTAATGTTGTTTAAGATGTACGTTTTCTCCTGCGCTGACAGAAAGTTTGCTTCATTACTCTTTGATCAGCACTTCCTGGTATCCATCAGTCCCTCTGTCCAAGAGAGCGTCCATAGCCAGTCGTGTGCTCTCGTTGTGACTCAGATCCACTGAAGACACCATAGCATTTGGGTTTCTCATCTCCCGAACTCTTCTTTTCATTTTTCCCATCAGCTTTGGCATCAAGTAACACTGCACTGACAATCCATTACTTACAAGGTTCATGTTGTTTGCATACAAGTCTTCAGCTGACAGATGACTGGTTGACTCTTGCTCATTCAGCTTACATTTTTAGTCGTCTTTCATGCTTAAGGCCAAACGGTTATCCATACAAACACCGTGTGGTGCAACAGCCAATGTCCCCAAGGTGATCATCAAATGTTCACAAATAATGCTGCGAGATGTTCATGCACTGTGCGTCTTTTCATCAGCAGTGCAGGCGTTTCACGGCACACTGAGCATTTCTGAACCAATCTGTCATGTTTTCATGATGGGTGAGTTTAAAATTGAATGTTAGTGCTGCCCTATGGCTTTGAGGAAAGTGGTTTGTGGCTCCTCTCTGGACAAAGCGGAGTAACTAACGTTCACAGATGGCTTCACCCAGAGGCACTGGAGGGTGGGGTCGTGTGGTTAATAGGTGAGGTGTTGAGTGAATAATTAGACTGCAGCTCCCATGTTTTCCATCACAGAAATGAAATGGTGTGAGTGGCATGGATGAAGATACGGACGTCAGATTCACTTCACCCATGCTTCACTAGGAACCAATAGACTGGTTCCTGTTTCCTGACACACCTGCTTAATGTAAATTCTTACTGGCTTTGTAGATCGAATACTTGTGGTAGTGAAAGTGAAAATTTGATAAGTCATACTAAACTACAAACCCTAAGTATAAACTTCAGCATACATTTTCCCACACCATTTGTGCTACATTTTACATCAAACCATGCGGCTTATTGAAGAAAGAACTGAATATCATAGAGACTTAGGGGAGAGCCCTTTTGATTTGGGCCAACATACAACCACTAAGCAACCATCGAAAACACCGTAGCAACCACATACATTAGCAACTCACTAAAACACTCTGAATGCCTCGGTGACTGCACAGCAACACTCTAGCAACCCTAACATTGTGGTGGGAAGTTTTGCACGGGCAAACACCACTTATCACATCAGAAAATGTAAATATCAAGTGTAAATACCAAAATTATTGGCTTATTTTTCAACCAAATTAATCATGAACAGAGAAGAAAAAATACACCGCACTATCATAGCTTGCAAAAGGTTACAATATTTAGACCTTCGCCTAATTGCATGAAATATTGCATGTTTTGCAAATATGGTGGCACGCAAGAATTTATTCTAAAGAAAAAAATCTAAATGGGTAAATGTACATTCACGATTATGTCTGAACAAAAGAATTCAGGAAGATATGGGTAGCCTGAAAATTTAAAAAAAGTGACAAATAATAATAAACATCACGTACAAAAAAGGCTTTAGTCACTAGCTAATACACTGCATCTGACTAGAGTGGTTCTCATATAGGGATGAACTATATTTGGAGAGTGATGAGCAGTTAAACAAACAGAAATCCCTCCCTAATAAAACATGCTTGAGTATGAGAATATACCCTTTTTTAATTATTTACATAAATTTGCAAGAATCTGATCTTTTCCAGAATACATCTCCGTCCAGTTGCTTTGCTGCGTATCTGGCAAGAGCAACTCTCTTATGACTCGGAAAGGCTGCATTCATCGTCTCCTTTAGCTTGGGTAAGTCCAAGGTTTCTGGATGATGAGCAGACACCAGAAAAAAGCTCTGCTGGA